GGACAGGGTGGGGATGTCCCTTGAAGATGCCAGCTGTGGCCCATTGTGGGAGGGGGCCACTGCCCATCTGGCTACCCATCATGCCTTGATGCCCTGGATGTGTTAGACAGCCAGACCTCATCTTAGCAGCCAGGGACATCATCCAACCCCTGGGAATGGCTGCCATATTTGCCTGGTAAGCCCTGCACAAGGAGAAGTCTGGTGGGGGGGGGGGTGGTACCATGGGCACCCATGCCAGCACCAGCTCACCCATCTGCCCCGGTCTGCATACCTGGAGAAAGGGGTCCTGCACATGGGGATGGAGGGCCCTCCCTTCCTCTCTACTCACTTCCCCTCCTCCCTTCCTACCCAAGATCCTCCCCATCCACCAGAGTTTCCACCTTCTGCCAACAAGCATGGAGGCAGTTCAAGACTTTACTGAATGCCCAGCAGGCTTCCAGATAGGCAGCCAGTAGCCCATCAAATGTGGAGAAAATTGTTGATGGCAGTGGCAATCTCCTTGGCTGTGGAGGTCAGGCACTCATAATATAAGCAGAGATTGCCCTCCAGGTGCTGGGGGGTAGGCAAGTGTGAGCATGCCTGGGGCACCCTCAATGCTGAGGGATCCACACCAGGTTGTTCTCTTTTCCCAGTGAACCATCTTGATCAGCAGCAGCAGGACATAGTGGGTTGGGAAGCCCTCAGACCACTCAAACAGCTTGTGCTCCTGCATAATTGTTACCAGGGGCATGCTTGGGGTGCAGCCCCTGCACACTAGGGGCCCTGTTCTAGGGTGCCCCTCCAGAGATATCCTTTGGAGGGAGGCAGGGGGAATCACCAGGTCTCTGTCCCAGATGGGTGGGAGCCCTTCTCCCTCCAGAACTGAGGCATTGCAGGCCCAGTGGCAGGGAAGTGAAGTGCCTGGCCTGTAGGGAGGAGATGGGGGGGTGGGGGCGAGGAGTTGCTCTGATGCCACTGCAACAGCTGCTGAGAGGGGTCAGGTATCAGTATGGAATTGGGAAGGCAGGCTGCCTGTAACAAGCAGCCTGCCTGCCCCCACTGTGGAATGGGGTAGGGAAGGCTTACCGCCTCCAATTAAGTTCTAATTATAATATACCTCCTCAAGATCACATGCTATTTTTCTCCCCTTCATGACTTGCAAAATGATCAAACCTGCTTATGTCTAAATGATGTATTGGAATGTCCTTCTGAAGCTACTCTGAATTCAACAGGTGATTTCAAAGGGTATGTGGACTATTTAAAAATAATTTTAACCTCAGTGTTGCCCTAGGATTCTGTGGAGATATTTTCAAGTGAATGACTTTAAATCACTGGATCAACTTTATAAGGTTGAAATGAGTTGAAGGTCAGCTAAAACTGGGACTTTTTTTAGATAGATCTAATACATTTTGCTTTACTGAAGATTCAAGGTTTTTACATGAACTTTACACAAATTAAACATATATTTTTGCTGAAGATTAACAGAAACAACAAGCAAGAGCCAGATTGTAAAAGGAAAAACTGTGGCACAATGGAAGGCAGAAAAAATGAAGTTAACATACTTTAGTTAATGCACATTAGATTTAGTACCTCCTTTGTGAGATACTAGGAAAATGTGCATTAGCCTGTCTTAGTGTGCATTAACTAAAGAGCATAGGGTCTGTCTACGCAAGCATTTTAATGCACGTTAGCCTATTTTAATGCACATTAAAGTGTCACTAAAAACCTGCGCTCTATAGTTAATGTGCTTTAATATAGGCTAATTAACATTAAGTGTCACTTAAAAATCATGGGGCACTTTTACATGGGCTTCAGGGGTCACAGGGTTGGGGGGCTTTAATTAGAGTAACTATCAGGGCCACTCTAAATTGCCACTGGGCCTTGTGTATCAGTGTCCCCATGCTTCAAAATGGTGGCAGGGGCACTGGAACTAAAGCTTGTTTGATGAGCTTTAGTTCAAGTGCCTGCACTGCCATTTTTAAATGCAGGGATGCTGAAAGTGGCCTCTGCACCCATCTTATAGGCACCCATGCTCTTTAATTAATACACATTATGATAGGCTAAAGTTTGATGTAAAGAGAAATTTGATGTAAAAAGTTTGGGAAATAATCTTATTTATAAAACTAATGTTCAACCATAATAAATGTTTTTACCAAATAAATGTTTTTACCAAACATTTCCATGGTGTACACTTGCTATATATTTAAATCATTGAGGTGGATTTACAAACTTCAGCTTAAGTGTTGTTTTTGAAGAGTCTGATGATACTGAAAAAGAGTGTAAATGGAGTCTTTTCTGGTTTGGCAACATTTTTTGCACACTTTACCCAGATATAATGACAACACAAGAAGCAAAGCCTTGGAGAGAATGAGGCATAATGTTTTCCCCCCAGACTGAAAAACAGTGTCAGGTCTAAACATCTAACACTTTGAGGAAAAAGCCCAGCAGTAATGGAATATAAGTGTAGCGAAACCCCCAGTTTTTCTTTTTTTTTAAATTTATTTTAAAATTCATTCCTTCCCCTTCCCCAACCATTTCTGACTTTTCCTCTCCCTCTCTATTCCCTATAGATAAGCATAAGTGAGCTCAGACTTAGGATAAGCTTTAACATTTTTATTTTGTAGCAAGTTTTTGGTTTTGGATATCCACTGTTTTATATTGGATTATTATTAGGTTTGTATTGATTCTTACTGTTGTATATTGTATTATTATTATTTTCATATTGATTTTTATTGTTTCATATGGATATTGTATGGTTTAGGCCTGTGTCTGTAAGTGAACCAAAGTCATGTCAAGTTTCCATTTTATATGTCAAGCCTCCATCTTCTGTCCTCTGCCTGGGCATCCCATGTTGCAACTGTATGAGTCACATACCCCTCCCATGTAAACTGGTTCCCGGGTGAATGAGAATGATTGGGAATGATTGAAATACAATGGTAGCAGGCCTCTATTGAATGACCTGTAATGACTGGGCCATCACCTCTCATTGATTCATCCAGGAACCACGGACCTCACCCAGGAACAGAGACAAGAACCCAGCATTTGAAAGACAAAAGACCCTGCAGAACCAGCAACTCAACCATTGTACCCGACCATTACAGACACCCGAAACTGCACATCCCTGCATGTTGGGTGGGTGCAAGGGAACCAATAAGACATTTTGTCACCATCTCCCCTGTTCAATAAAACCACTGTCATTTGCAACCCCGAGTTGGGTCATGTTTTACTGAATCCCAATCCCTTCCTTATCTTAAATTCCAGCCTATTCTCTCTCTCTCTCTCAGCTCCAGCCCCCACCCCTCTCCACTAGTTTCCCGATCTCCTCTCAATTCCCACTGCCTTTTCACTGTGACTTTCTGCTGCCTTTCTCTGCTTTCCCACTGCCCCTGCCACCTTTCAGTCTCTCCTGCAGTTTTCCTGTGATTTTCTGCTGTCTGTCTCTCTGTTTTCAGGTTTCTCCCACTCCTTCTGTAGTCCTCCCCCCGACCCCTGTAGCTTCCCAGCTCCTCGTGGCTGTCCTGCAATTTTCTCCAGCTGCTGGAGCCTTTCTCCAGCTCCCAGCACCTACTACCACTCCCTGCAACTTCTCTAACTGTCCCAGAACCATCCTCTGGCTCCCCACACCCAGAGCCCCTCTTTAACACCTACACTTTCCCTTAGTCCAGCATCGGTCCCCTGTTCTGCAGGCTTTGGGCATTGTCTTTTAATCAATTAAGATCAATTAACCTAAAGTTACCCCCAGCCTCAGTTCTTCAGCCCAGGCCCCTCTAGTCTACTGGTTCTAATCCCAGTCCCTGTGACTTTCACTCCCAGCAACTTTCACTCCCTACACTTCTACTTTCTTACCTTAACCTTTCCCCAGGTATCCCAAATACACCAAGCACGTACATACGTACACACATACACACTGTACCATCCAAGTTAGGAACTTACCTGTGTGTATGTGTAGGTGGGTTGTGTGTGTGTGAACTGGTGAGTGAGTGAGTGTGTGTGTGTGTGTGTGTGTGTGTGTGTGTGTGTATCTATGGCATTGTGTGCATGATAGATGAATTAGTGATCTGTGTCTAATTTTGGGGGTGGATAGTGTATGTGCTTGAATTGGTAATAGGTATGTGTGCGCCGAGGCTGGTTTGGATGTGTATGTGCCTGAGCTGATAGTATGCATGTGTATGCACCTAATTGATTTGTGTGTTTGTATATGTGCAATTGTGTCACACCCTCCTGTCTAACAGCACAATACTGAGATCCTGAGAGTTGGTCTGACTCCACAGGGCAACATAAGAATATATCTGGGGTCTGATATCCTGTAATTATAATAAATATGTTTGTGGGTGCATCTGAGAAATTCACAAAAACATTGAATACTTTATTGGGCAGTGACACCAATAGATGTTATTTGAGTTTGCCCTGGAAAGGAATCATACAAACTGAACAAGTACAGGAGGAACTCATAAATCAGAAGCAGATACCTCAAAAAAGCAACAACCAAACAAGGGAGAATTAAGTATCTTCTCTTTGACAATGTCCAGTACCAAATGCTTTAGAGGAAGGGGAAATAAAACTTCCAGACATGTGTGGGCATAAAGCAATCTGCACAGACAGCAATTTTTATTCTAACCCCCATAGCTAACAAATGCCCTGAATCATGAGTGTTTACATTCAATCCTAAATTCTTCTGCCTTGTTATTATTATTTTTTTTAATTTTAACATACAATTTATCCATACAAAAATCTGGTCACTTTCTTGAACTCTTCTAATCTCTTGGCTTAAGTAACATGTTACTGTAGTGAATAATAATGTGGAGTCTCCATAAAGAGGAAGGCAAATAAGGATACATTCAAATCTCAGTTTCAAAAGATTCAAAAATTTGTGTGTTTGAACATAAGTTCTGTGTCACTTGCTTTGTCTATAAAAAAAAGCCTTGCATGAATCAGACAAAAAGGCACCCACTAAAAGCAGCCATCTTCAATTTGTGATCATTTATAAGGAAGGAAGAGATGAGAAGAAATGTTGAGTGAGTATATGAAGAAAGGGTGTGGGAGAAATTAATGAGGGTCTTGATTATGTGTCAGAAGCTATTTACAATCAGAGATAGAGGGCTTAGTTGATCTATTCCTACTTTCTGGCTGAGAAGATTCTTCTGGGCAGCTCTAGCAACAGTATATCCAGATCTGTAAATTTGAATGGAAAGGAATCCTAACAAGGCTAGCAGCAATGATTTATCCCCCCAAACTACGGAGAAGCTCTTCTGTTAAATCATCATTGTCCGTAATTCTGTAACATAACCTTTTACCATCATTTTTGGCCAGGATGCAATTATTGCTTGGTAATCAGTGTTGTTATCTGCATAGAATATTTGACTTTTTTCAGCCTAGTTAAACATCCTGGAGACTGTATTTCAGAACCATTCATCTTTACAACTGGGAGTCTCACTTTGGTGGGTGAAAGTTGAACCCATAATTTTAGAGTTACAAACTTGTGTACCTGAGCCTCTGATGATATCACTGCAGATGCAATTAATGAGAGGCACACCTGTTCAGTACGGCAGCTGCAACTCATTTTGTGGGCAGAAAATTTGCAGACACCTGCAAGAGGAGAAGATGGGCATCAGGCTTTTTTGGAACCAGAGCTCTAAGTGTCAAATACAGTTTTCTAAACTTTTTAGTTCCATTGAACAATGTGGTGGTGAGATGCCCACACAGGCTCCTGAAGGGCAGGGGGCAGTCCCCACAGGCCCCAAGCTGCACAAGCATCACCCCCTGCTGGGGAAACTTACCTCCGGGAGTTCAGCTGGAGTCAGAGGAGGAGCAATGGCCGTAGCCGCATGAGCCGGCATTACGCTGGACATTTAATCAGCTGTTTCCCAGGTGGGAAACAGAGGAGCCAATAATGGTTGCGAGAGCAGCCGCTGTGGGAAGATTTAAAAGCCCCACCGGAACCCGGCAGGGGAGAAGAGAGGGAGCACACCAGCATGAAGCATGCCAGGCACGGTGAGGCTCATGTACTGGGCAGGAGCGTTGGATCCAGCTCAGTGCCAGCATTCAGAGCCAGGGGAAGCTGAGCCCCTGCAGAAGGCTGGATGGGAGGAGGCAGTTCCACTACCTCTCCCTCCCCCCGCCCTTTCCAGCAGTCTATTTGGTAAAGAGCATTAGAGGCATCCTGCCCAGAGGGAGCAAGGAGGATGCCAGCCAAAGGAAGCCTAGCCTGTCAGTGTCCGAAGTGGAGACGCTAGCTGTCATGACAGCCAGGCTAGCCCAACAGAACCCATGTCAATGCCAGTCCCCCTTGTGAAAGGAGTCAACGGGGCATGGCTGAACCATGCAGGTGGCACCCATTCGGTTGGTGAGTGGAGTAGGGGAGGCGGAGCCACGTGGAACATTGCGTCAAGACAGTGAGTAATACCATCCCCGGGGTCCCCCAGGAAGAGGATCTCCACTGAACTCCTCCTTTTCATTCAGTAACACCAAGTCGTGGCAGAAGAGCTGAGGGGAGGGGCCCCACACCAGATGGATAGTATGGCACCTGACCTAAACCTCACCTTAGGTGCGTCCACAAACAGGCCCTAAAGGAAAATATATTGCTGCTGCATCTGGTTAATAGAAACTGTACTACCAGGAACAATTGTTTTTTTTTTCCCTTGAAAGAAACTTGGTAAAAGTAAAATATTTGGTTGTAAAAATGTTTCTGGAGGGAAATTTAATTCAACTAGCAACGCAAACTAAGATGGTAACCAGGACAAGTTTAGAACATTAAAACTAGCTATAATTAGAGTCCTAAGCCCAAATCTATAGGTTGCATCTATTAGTGAAATATGATCCTCCCAACTTAAAAACTGTCAACATGTCTCTTTCCATTGATTGCTTTAAAATGGAATGGAAAGGATGCTTTACACTTGCTTCCCAAACAATTTATCAATGATAGATGAGCTGTCTCTCTTTGCTTTAATTAAAGGAGGTTGATTTGCAAGGAACTCCTGGGCTGGTTAGCAATCTGTTTCCAGTAGTGATTTGGATTTGGTCTCAGAGTCCTTAGTATGAGGGAAGTATTAGCATTGGCAGAGACTAGCTTAGTAGCAGCATCTTTCAACTTCTCTAGAGCGCTGTTATATTCTTGAAGGGTGCATGGAATTCCTGTAAAAGGCTATAGAGAGGTGACCTTGGCATAAAGAAGAGAACAGATTCAATCCTGTAGGCTATTGCACTTAGAGGAAAGTCATATAGAATTTGGGATACAGAAATAAAATTAGATTGTAGAATTTAGAAATTTGGATGAAACTAACTGGATTCTATGAAACTGAATGGAGATTATTTTGATAAAATTAACTCCAAAAATGATTAGAAATTAATGGAGGCTTATTACTAGGGCTGTGTGAGTCTTTGGATCCCACTTTGGATCTGGAGCCACTTCGGATGCTTTGACATCCAAAGCGGCATGTCCAGATCAAAGCGGGGTCCCAGCAGTGGTATCTGGAGTGAGCTCGGGGGCAGCTGAAGCGCTTTGTATCCACTTCGGATGTTTTGGACCCACTTCTGCCATTTTGAGGCACAATTAGAAGAGAAATGGGGTGCGGGGGAGGGACAGAGAGTGGGGGGGGAGGGAGGGGAAGTGTGGGGGGGAAGACTGACGTCTGTAGGTAGCCAGAATGTGGGGTGGGACTAGAAACGGCATAAAAGCCTGTTTCCAACTCTTCTGTGCCTTTTGCAGCTCGTTCCCTGTCAGCAGCCGTGTGAGAGAGGAGCACTCGGACTGAGACTTGCCTGCTCCTTTTTCTTGTTATGAAGGAGTGGTTAGGATTTAGCTTAGCTTAGCTTAGCTTAGCTTAGCTTAGCTTAGCTATTCAATTATTATTAGTATTGCAATTCAAGTTATTTTTTTTAATTGATATTTGCTCTTTTTCTTTTTGGAAACTTTGCAAAAAGAAAGGTGTGTTTTCCCAGCCAGTGTTATCTATCACTGTGCAGGGAGGCACAGATTGCTTGCATGCATGCATACACACATGAATGCACACACATACACAGAGACCCACAATATAGAAAAAAAAATCACAGCACAAGAAGACAGACAGATATTCACAAGGGAAGAAGACACACAGATCATATATTGAGAGCACAGGATTGTGGCTTAAAGGACCCACACCTGTGGGGTGTCAGCACTAGAAGCATTGAGTTCCTTTTCTTGTGTTTCATTCTTTGTTTACTAAAAGGGGGAGGCTTTCTTCATGGCAGTTTTTTTTTCTCTTTTTTTATCCTTTTGAGTGAAGGAAGCCATATAGGGTGACTGGATTCCAGGCATCGCACCTTGGGGAGGAGAGGAACAAAAGACAAGAAGAGAGATAGGATTGACTTGATGTATTAGACCAGGCAAACAAGTCCAGGTCTGAGTTCTGGACAGTTTAAAGACTCTTTCTTGATGCCAGAGGTAACTATCCAGAATAAGAATGATAACTGGCCTTGATTCAGAAAAAATGGCCAGGCCAACCACATGCACATGTTCTGGATTATACCTGATATCATGCTAACAACTGGTAGGTGAAAGTACTGGAGTGAAAGGGGAGGTTGGAGCCCCACTTGAAGGGTGTCTTGCACCATAATCAGACTCATGAAAACAACATTGCCTCCCAAAAGAACATTCCATCTAGTCTTGGTGGGTGAGAACTAGGTGGAGACTAGAGTCTGACTAGCTGGTCAAGGCATTCCCAAGAATCACAGACAGGTGAATGTCATCAGGATGCTGAGGGCCACATTCTTATGTGGTGATCCCCTGACAGTGGGCCCCAAGGAGGACTATTCCATGAAGGCCTGCATTTGCGGGGAACAGATAAGACAGTGGAAACAAGGGGTAGTCAGCAAGGAGGAATACACAAATATAGTCTGTGTTTGTAGGGAGAGGATAAGGAAGGCAAGGGCATCAACCAAGATCAGGTTGGTGACCAAAATAAAGGACAATAAGAAGTCCTTATTTAGGTATACAGGGAGCAAAAGGAAGACCAAGGGAAATGTGGGTCTCTTGCAGAATGGGACAGGACACCTGATAACAGACAGTCAGGAGAAAACTGAACTCTTTAATGACTACTTTGCATTGGTGTTCCTGCATACAAATAGTGGTCACCCGCCTGGTTGGATACTGGATGCATGCAGTGGAGGGGAATGGGGGGTGGGGTGGGGAGGAACTTGTCAGCCAATGGTCAGTGTTGAACTGCCAAGGTAGCACTTAGAGTGGCTGAATGTCTTCAAGTCGGCAGTACTGGATTGACAACAGCTGAGAGTGCTGAGGGAAATGGCTGGAGTTATTGTGGGACCTCTGGCAAAGGTATTTGAAGACTCGTGCTGCTCTGGAGAGTTCATGGAAGACTGGTAAAGGACCAATGTGTTGCCAATCTTTAAGAAGGGAAGGAGGGAGGATCTGGGAAACTCTAGGCTGGCCAGTTGGACCTTGATACTGGGTAAAATTTTGGAAAAAATTATCAAGAAATCCATTTTTGAGAGACTGGCAGAACACATGATCCTGAAGGATAGCTAACATGGTTTCATTGTGGGCAGATCATGTTTGACCAACCTCATCTCTTTCTATGATTGAGTAATGAACCTCTTAGGTGTGGGAGACACAGTTGATGTCATATTCTTGGATTTTAAAAAGGCCTTTGATATGGTCTCCCATGATGCTCTTATATAAAAAAAAAGGTGGAGGAGGGGATTGTGGGCTAGCAGAGTCCATGGTCAGGTGGGTTAGGAACTGGCTAAGGGCTTGAACCCAGAGAGTGTTAGTGGATGGGTCTATATTGTCTTGGTGGGAAGTAGCAAATGGTTTCCTACAGGGTTCGGTTCTTGGTCCTGTGTTATTTAACATCTTTAGCAATGATTTAGATGAGGATGTGGAAAGCATGCTGGCCAAATTTGCCAACAATACTAAGTTATAGATTCATAGATGTTAGGGTCGGAAGGGACCTCAATAGATCATCGAGTCCGACCCCCAGCATAGGCAGGAAAGCGTGCTGGGTTTAGATGACCCCAGCTAGATGCCTATCTAACCTCCTCTTGAAGACTCCCAGGGTAGGGGAGAGCACCACCTCGCTTGGGAGCCCATTCCAGACCTTGGCCACTCTAACTGTGAAGAAGTTCTTCCTAATGTCTAGTCTAAATCTGCTCTCTGCTAGCTTGTGGCCATTATTTCTTGTAACCCGCGGGGGCGCCTTGGTGAATAAAACTTCACCAATTCCCTTCTGTGCCCCCGTGATGAACTTATAGGCAGCCACAAGGTCGCCTCTCAACCTTCTCTTGCGGAGGCTAA